AAAAACTTAGTCAAACAAAAGTATGAGAACTAATTAAATGCAAAAAATATGCATCTAAAAACTCATTTCAAATTTTTTCTTCAAATGGAAGCTAAAACTTTTTTGTTTAATTTTAAAATCCCTTTTAGGTTTTTTTCAATACCTTTTAAAAACTCTACACCTTTGAGTTGGACTTTCTCTTGGCATCTTTTTGCCTCTGTATTGTAGCCTGTGTTGACCTTAAAGGCTGGTCAATAAAGAGTTTTAAAGATGGTAATATCTCCACCACTAACTTCCCTGTCAATTTATCCTCAATATCATTAAGTTGTTTTCCTGGCTCATCGACATTTCAAGTCTCCATGTGGAAATGCTTAGTTTCCTTGCCCTTTTACTTACATGGCCCTTCAAGTTACTAAAAGTCTGTGTAAAAATAATTAATTTAAGACATTTTAAAATTACCCTTTTCCATTTAAGGATGGATTTAATGGCCCCGCCAGAAGATCTGTTCTTTGGCTAGTTCAGTATAAAACGTTTTTTCAAAGTATTTTTAGAATTTGTAGATTTTCTTTAGTTGTTTTTAAGTTCATTTAATGTATTAAATAGCACCAATGATTTTAAAAATAATTATTTAAGACAATTTTAGTTAACGATCTGCGACTTTTAGGTTATAAAACTAAGATACTCTGTCCTCGAAACATTATCGCTGTGAAACGGAATACCTTTAAACATAGGTGATGTTTGGTTTGTCGTTGGGTGAACATACATGTTAAGAAAACGATGTTACTAAACAGCAAGAAAGGAAATTGGCCTCTTAATGTGGTTATAGCTATTCAGCAAGTATTGCTCAGTTCCCGGGCTGGATCATTCAGCCTGGATGCTCCCGTGGACGAGTTTGGTTCGTACCGCGCATGACATCACTCGATAGTAATATTATCAAAGAAAATATAGAAATATCTGCCTTTTTTTAAAACTTGATATCGAAGAAAGTGTTATAATATGAATGATATATGCTTTCGGTCCACGATAACATTTAAGCCTGATTTATAGATTGCCTTCCTTCCTTCCTCCCTTCCTCACGTAAAAGATGAACAATACAAAAACCGTTTTGCTGTTTATAGATTCCCCTACGGGGGCTTTAGGGCTGTAATTTAAGAGTTGGTGTTTTAAATTAAACTTATAGTCACTGTCCAGAAAATGTTTAGAGCAAACAGTAGCAAACATTAATATTGTCTATTCTTTTTGTGGCGTGTAACCATGGTTTGGACAAATCAAAGTTTTTCGGGAATCGATGAAATTTAATGTTTTTATTAAAAGGGTTTTTCTGGGACTGGTTGTCCGAATTGCATCCAAATATGCTACACCGCATTTTAATAAATGCAAATGGCACGGCACAAACTAAAACACAAAGAAAACAAGTTAACGCAACACAAAAACAATAATAAACAAACAGAACAGCTTAACACAACGCAATAACAATAATTTGAACACTGAAAAGTAATTCGAACCATAGATTAATAACCTGATTCGAACCTTACCATGCCCTGTGCACTCGCCTTAAACAAACAAAATCCACATTTTTGTCTAGTCGACTTTGGTTTTAGTTTACACTCGAGGCATATGTGGCAGGAGCGGCGGTTAATCTTGACGGTTGCTTGGTAACGAAATCAACGAACTTCAGTTTGATAAATTTTGTAAAGTTTTGTAAATTCATATTATGTTTATTTGGTTTGTTCTGTACGCTTAAAAACTTTTAAAATTGCGATTTATCGTTATATGTGTACTCTATTTTTATATATTGCTACATTATTTGAACATTAACATGGTGTTGTGCTGTGCTGTGGGCTGCTCTAACAGTCAAGTTATGATGCATACTTTTCACAATGATGACGAGGTTGTATTGTATTATTCAATTATAACTATTTTATTAAAACAACCCAGTAAGCACCAAACACTCGGCAAACAGTCGGCCTTCGCTCGGCATAGGCGGTTGACAGGCGGTTCGGCTTGCCCCAGCCGGCCCGCTTACGGCTTACGGTTATGTTACCCCGGTACCGTTTAGCCATGTTATAACCGAAGTCGGCTAGAATACGGCATGCCGCTACAAAATCCTTCGGCTTGCCCTAGCCGGCCTGCTTACGGCTGGAATACGGCCTGCCGCGGCATAAGCGATACATCTCACGGCTGCTTACGCACGCGAGCTAACTATAAATAGCGATTGGTTGAAATATTTAGTTGGAAGTGTGCGTCTCTAATGCCATAGCTAAACATTATTTGTTGGTAGTCCCCATCTCCATCCTCATCTGCTCATTAACGAATAATGCCTAGCTAGTCGAGTGTGTTAAAGAAGTATCTTGCCATTCAGAAAATTTCAGGACTGAACTTATAGGATATACCTCCCCAGGACGTCTGTAGGCTTTTTTTGGATGGCCAGGCGGTTGTGGCCGGCACTCGGACAATTATACACAGCCGACACTCGGCCGAGTAAACATAGCCGACATTCGGCCAAGCGGATATGCCCGATAGTTGGCCAGGCGGACATGCCTGTTCTACACGCCGGAAAAATACGTGTGCACGCGGCCGATTCGGCAAAACGTATTCGGGCCGTTTGCGGGCCGGCTAGCTTGTGCTGACTGGGAATGAAGTAGGTACTTACACAAATGTGGTACAGTGGTGGACACAGAATTTTGAACGACTATCATCCCATTGACATCAAACTCTAAACTTCGCTTATGGATAACTAACCTTACTTCCAGTAATCACTAGTCTTTTTTGACAGCGAAAGCCAAAATGGTCAATATTGTATCTTTTATTTTTATACATATACAACCAAATTATGACGTTCAAAATTCCGTGTGTGCCACTGTACATAATATTATTACTTTATACTGATTTGTGTTCTTTAATAAGATAAAATTCACTTGAATACATGTTCATTATTATATTGTTAATTGGTTTAGTTTAGTAAATACCTTGAATATTTTAAAATATAATATTTTTATTTTTAAATAAACTATCAGGCCTTTTATTTTTTACTATTTTAACTGTCAAAATTTGACAGGATAACCTAAATTAAAACCATAACCTAAAACCAATAAATGTCAGGCGGGTACAACTATAGTTGCTATAGCGGCATAGCGGGACGAGTGTGCGTAACAAGGAGCGTCAAATATGTGACAGTGGCGTATCTATATGATTTATTATCTATGAACCTTACTAAACGCAAACACAACAAGTTAAACAAAAAATAGCAAGTTAACAACCAACAGCATCGCAAAAACTAGAATTTTAGCAGCAGATAATTAAAACGCACGTTACAGCGCTAGATTTAAAGATACTCAACGAGTGACGTATGCGTAGCCCCGCCCAACATGCGCACCATCCTATCTTAAGGTGTATGAATCTTGGTTTCCGCCGTAGCAGCCAATTTCACTTCACTTTATATCGAAGACTTTCTGCCAAAGTATCGCAAGCAACATAACTAAAATTTCGGGAATTAAAAACATTTTTTGTTGTAAAGTCTGTTTTAAACCAAATATAACCTACAGGTTTTATAACAAGTAAATAGCTATAATTATAAGCTAAGTAATTATTCATTATAAAACCTTTAGGCTATATTTAATTTAAAACAGACAAGCAAAATGTTTACTATATGTGAAGTTTGGGTTATGTTGCTTGCGATACTTTGGCAAAAAGTCATCGATATAGTTAATATTTTTTTGTCACATGGCACATGTCATCGGTATCGGTATAAAAACGCTAAAATTATTTAAAAAAATCGATATATCGTTGCCATCCCTACCGCTAGGTGTTTTTGAGTACCTAACTTAATTAAAACAAAGGTTTAGTAATACCGTTGATTAAAAATTTTAATAATAATAAATGTTTTCTGTTAATATTAAATATCTAATCTTTAATAATAATTATGTTTTTGTTTTGGTATTTTTGTAAAAAAGTATATTATTTTGGTTGATTAAATGTATTACATTTTTTACCTAACATTTCCAACATTTTGTTATGTTTTATGAGTTTTGCGTGCATAAATCTAAACCAAAATTAAAAATCAAATCAACCCAAGCATCTAACCACCCAGCCACCCTATTAAAGACGATAATTCTATCGGTAAACTTTTTATTTACAAAAAAAGTTATCTATTCCTAATAAAATTGCTTAAAAACCAACATTTAATTTTTAAAAACAAAAGAAAAGTAAAAATGCAATCTGCCCAAAGGAGATTTGAACCACGATCTTCATGTTTACAAAACAGATACGCCTGCTATGTAGCTTTTGAACTAGTTACTAGAATATGCACGCAAAACGTATAAACAGTGCACCATTTTTTTTTTTGCAGCTGTCTGGACAGTGCAGTAGACACTTGACTAATAGAACTTTTATATCAAAAACAAAGCTTTAAATCAAAAAAAGTTATTCCACAAAAAGTACTTAAAATAGTCAATTTTACCACTACCCCGAAATACCCTATATATATTGCAATATTTAATATTGTAGATAAGTCATTTTTGCGTAACAGTGCAGTTGCACTTAAAACCTTATCATTCTACCGTACCGATATATTTATATAGATATATGATTTTCGACAAATCGAAAAAATAATTTCAATCTGCCATCCCTAGTTATCGGTAGTTTTCAGAATAAAATTAAAAATTTCTGATAAAAATTAATCCAAGTAATCGGTTTTTGGTTTCCCACAGATTGTCAGTTAGGCACGAAAACTGACGGACGGTCGTTACAAAAAAAACGATGATTCGACACGACGGTTTTCCACCACACACACGTGGCGATACAAACGAAAAAAAAAATAACATTTTTAATAATAAAGGACATTGGAATTGCAATTAAAAAATTATTCTTATTTATTTATTAGCCCTTATTTAAGGGTTTTAAATTTAAAACTAAACCTGTTTGTACGACTCTACAGAACGCCTAGATCCACAGTCCAGGTCTTGAAGACACATGACAGAACGTGTTGTGCGTTTAATCTTTTGAGGTTATTTTTATTTCAGAATTCCGTGCCATTACCAATAAAATCCACTCAGGAACGTTCAAGTGAGCTGCGCATGCAATTTCCGGTGAGCAGCGGTCAACAGCATCGAAAAACTGTCGAGGAATGGGTACCGGTGGCGCCGAAAAAGGGTTCAGAAGCCAAAACGGCGGCTACCGTGGACGCTACTGTCACTACAGTGGCAAAAGTAGACGTTCCACCGGAACCGGTCGTTGTGCCAGCTCCACCCAATGCTCCCCCAGGACCTCAGGCGTTTCCCACGCCCGTTTTGGAGGTAGATTCAGTTTAATTTTATGATATAATGTCAAAAAATTCAAGAGATGATCGTTACATCCTTTAATTTGTACCATTCCATATTCTTATTGTCAATATGATAGTGAAAAGAGTGTGACTCAAAACAAATTTTTTTTTTTAGTATTTGGTAGCAAAAATCATAATAATTATATTAATTATTAATATATAACCCTAGATGTTACCCGCGACCTATGATAAAGGGTCAGTCAAGGGTTAGACCAAATGTCAAAAGTGAAAAAGTAAATATTTTTGAATAAACACATTTAAACCAAAGATTTTTTAATCATTCCTTAAGGGTTAATATTAATATTTAAAAGATTTTCAATTCAACATTTTCATACACATATAACAAAAAAGACTATTTAATACCTTCTTAGTTTCTGACTATAAAAGGGAAAAAGAAAATGTGATTAATGGATTATATTTTTTATAGCCCAGTGTGGATTTAGGATCAATTGTTTCACAAAGATTGACAGCAATGAGAAGATTGCAAGAAAATCCCAATGATGTTCAAGCTTTAACGCAAATATACAAATCTAACAAGGAGGTAAGTTTTATTGTATTATTAAAACACAGCCTTAAAATTGAAATGCTTACCAAAAAGTGCAATATCTTGCTTAGTTTTGTAAATTTCAAAAATTAGTAAAGTGTAAATCTGGTTTAAAGAAATTGTAGATACAATATTTTTCAGTGGAGGGTGTTTGTAGTTATAAACTATAGCATTTTGATAAACGCAAGATATAAAACGCTTTGATTACCTTGAAGAAAGCGCGTGACGTCACGATGTTATAACAGATGTGTCAAGAATTACGAATGAAGCCAACATCAGTTTCTAGCATGGTCTTATATACAGGGTATCCTAAAATTACCGGACCAAACGAAAATTTAAATTATAAGTGGTACGTAGGAAACACCCTGTATTATAATTTCTAAAATAATATATTTCACCTCTCAAAACAACATTCCTATGTTTTTTATTTTGTTATAATATGGTCAATTATACTCAATTAGATTTTCTAAAAAATCTCTGCGTCAAAAAAAATTCTTGCAAATTTTGAGGTTAATCGGTCAAAAAGAACACTTGCGCACTGCGTTTTGACTTATTAACCTTAATAGTTAGCGAGCTGGTGGCAATTTCGGTATATGATTTGCTCGTCGTTGGGAATGATATGTTATAGAGTTTTGATGCTTGTGAACTGAGTAAATATGGTGGCAGGCTCAGGTATCGCTGCTTTTTTTAAGTAATTTTTAAAATTGTAAAAAATAAAACCTAACCAGTTTAATTAACTACGCCACCGAATACACACGTGTGTCAAGTGATTAGTGAATAAAACTATTAAAAAAAACTATTTAATGGAGACTAGCGACGGAGAAAATGAGTCGGATCATGGAAACGAAAGTCAGCATGTAAAAGATAGAGGTAAAAGAAGAATAGAAAGCCCAGAGGCTGAATTAATTGGTTTTCAATACGGTAAAGCAATATTAAGACAAGCCAAAAAACGAAATTCAAATCAACAAAAAACGAATGCATCGATACATGAAAATAATCCAGCAAAAAACGATACACAACAATCTACTTCTCAAACCAACCAAAAAACAATAAACAAGACGTCATTCAACTACTCCGAAAAAATGCTCGCATTTAAAAACAAAACATATAAAAATACCTTTTATTTAACAACACATAAAGAGATTACAAGAATCCAATTTTCTGATAAATGGCAAGATATTTTTCCAAGCTCGCAGGATGTTATAATAAAAACAAAAAATGGCTTTATACTTAAATCCGATAACAACAAGGAGGTACTGTCATCTACATTTAAAGTTCTGTCAGAAAACAATCTTATTAAAACATTCAATGTTTCTACACCTCCACCAAAAGCTACAGAAAACATTCCCAATGCCTCATTTTCAGTTGTAATATCAGCCGTGGAAAACGAAATTGATGATAACACAATCAGCCAACATTTAAAATCATTGGACATCTCCATTCGCTTCTGTAAAAGAATAATATCTAGAGCTACAGGAAAACCCACACATTTAATTAGGATCATAACGGGGTGCAACAAATCATTTGAACGACTTTTAAATGAGGGTATGTTTTTTAAAAACAGACACTACGCAGTTTACCCCAGTGCTCCACCACCACCCATCCCTGCGCCATGTGCACGGTGCCATCTATACACTCATCTTACAGAAAATTGCAGCACACCAATCAGTTGCGCAAAATGCAAAGGTAACCATCATACAAACCAGTGCACTTCACCGCTTCCTAAAAAATGCATAGCATGCGACTCTGAAGAGCATGAAGCATGGTCCACAAAATGCCCAAGAAGACCCACAAAGCCAATAGAGGGTATACCAAATATCAAAATAAAATCAATAAACAAAAGATCTTGTCAGATAGATGCAAAAATCACAAAAAAAAACAAAATTCACTCTTACATCACAGTACATGACATGATAGTCGATACATATATAAATAAATTAAATAAACCTGCCAACACTGACAGGGAAAAACTTATTATAAAATTAAAAAAACGATTTATAGAGCAGTACAACATAGACACTACCCCTATTTTCTCTGGTAATAGGTTATACATATTTATGATAAATATGGATGATTCGGATAATCAAGATATTGCAACAGAACCAATAGAAGGCTATCAAATTCAATCAAACTAACATAAAAATACTCTACACGAATATAAACAGCTACCTAGCTAAAAAAAGTTTAATAAGTCATTACTTACAAAAAAATAATATCGATTGTGCAATGTTTGTGGAAACAAAACTCAAAAATATAATACCTTTAACATCACAATGGAAATCAATACAAAAACCAGGTAATATCTTTAATGAAAACATAAGAGGGGGAAGCATGGTTCAAACGAGGGCGGAAATTAATCTTGGCAAAGCCAATCCACCAAAAATTAATAATATAAAAAATGAATGCTTACATTTTACACTACCGTATCAAAATGAAAAATTGCATGTACTTCTTTTATACATTCATCCAAATGAGATAATTGATAGTACCGTATTTATAAAAGCTGCACTTTATAAATATTGCCTTATCATTGGAGACTTCAATCCTAATACTCACAAAAATAAACAACTACAACATTTTCTTAAAAACTCAAATTTTGTTAAAATCGATACTCCCCCTACATTTATCATGACAAACAATGCAAGCACAACACCAGACTTAATATTATGTACAGATAACATAAAAAATAATATAAAAAAAATAAATATTATTCCGGATTTATGTTCAGACCACCAATCAATTGAAATAACATTTAACCTGCAAACAAAAATAAATACCTCTCCTGAAATGATATACGATTTTAACAAATGCAACCTAGAAAACCTAAATGTAGAATTAACCGATTATATAAAAAGCATGCAAAATTTAGACCCAACAATAATTACACAATTCCTCAACTTTACCTGCCAAAAGATTCTGGATAACTCCCCTAAAAAACCAAAAACTTTTTACAATCAAGTACTACCTCCTTTCATACTAAGATTATTAAGAACAAAAAGACAAATGCTTAGAGAAATCCACAAATATGATAACCAAAACCTAAAATCTAAATTCAATGATTTAAACAAAGACATTAAAATATTAATTTTGCAATATAAATCCACCAAATATCTTGAAGCATGCAAGAATATAAGTAACTTAAAAGGCAAAAACTATTGGCAAGAAATAAAAAAACTTTCAGGTTACAAAAAGCACACTCATAAAAATGTTGAAATTGTAGAAAATAATGTTGTGCTCAATGAGGACCAGGATGTGGCAGATGCTTTTGGCAGACATTACAAGAAAATATATGAAATGTCGGAAGATATAAACTTTGATGATCAAAGCTTCAAAGAAATAAATGACTGGTACGAGTTGTACTTTAACGACCATACCGACCCTGGAGAAGTGCCTGAAGTTACTGAAGAGGAATATTATCATGTACTAAATACCGGCAAAAATACAGCACCAGGTTATGACCATATCTCCAAAAAGACTCTTAAAAACTTATGTGCTGAATTCCATGGAAAAGTTTTAGATATATATAATTACTGTAATAAAAACCGATACTATCCACAAGAATTTAAAAAAGGAATTATAATAAACATTCCTAAACCGAATTGCGATCTGACAAAAACAACCAACTTTCGCCCAATTACTTTACTACCAGTCATTGGAAAAAACTTAGAAAAAAATCATTAAAATAAGGCTAGAAGAAGAACTAGATGACAAGATTCCACCCCATCAATTTGGCTTTAGAAAAAATTCTTCCACAATCCATCCACTGCTTATTCTAACTTCGAATGTTCAAACAAACAATCTAAAAGGCAACAAATCAGCAGCTCTCTTTATGGACATTAGTAAAGCATTCGATAGTGTGTGGCATGCCGGCCTATTATACAAATTATACAGCTTAAATTGTCCAAAATATCTAATTCACTTTATAAATAACTTTCTAAAAAATAGACTGAGTCTAGTTAAACACAATCAAAAATTATCTAAATCATTTTCTATGCAACAAGGTGTCCCGCAAGGCTCTCCTTTATCCCCCATTCTATACAACCTATTCACATACGACATCTATTCTCAACAATTTAATCCTAACACATATATTCTAGAATTCGCAGATGATAAAGCTTTAATTGCACACCAGAAAAATTTAAAACTCACTTTGATTCACTTACAAAATCTCTGCAATAATATAATCCAGTTTTTTTCCAAGTGGAGAATAAAACCAAATCCCAATAAAACTCAACTAATAATATTCAATCACAAAATAAATATAAATTCCCCCTCTATAAAAATGTTTAATCAACAAATACGACCATCTAATTCATGCAAATACCTTGGAATACATTTAGATAGCAAACTCAATTTCAATTTACATGCCAAATTAATGAAAACCAAGATGATTACAAGAGCCAAACATTTCAGAAGCCTGACATACAAAAATAACGGTATACAACCTGAAACTGCGATTAAAATCTATAAAATGATATGCAGGCCCATTATTGAATATGCCTTCCTAATCTACCTAAATTGCAAAAAAACTACTGTAGGTAAGCTAGAAGTGGCTGAACGGAGTAGTTTGAGAATAATCACCAAAATGAGACACCCAGATAATCCACTTCATAATCCATCAAATCAACTGCTATACGAAACAACGCAGGTCACCCCCATTTTGGAACGTTTCAAGGAGCTGGCATGCCAATTTGCAAAAAAACACCACAACATACAAATTATGGAAAACTTAATGCACGGTAGAGACCATAACCTGCCCCCCAAAAGGAAATATCCTACACAAACTTTATGGGAGATAATCACGGACATCACTAACGAAGACTAAAATATTTGAGATTTATGTTTTTATTATTTTTTTTTTTTTATATAAATTCAATATTGTAACTACAATTAACAATTATTATATTTATAAATTTTTTTGTAAAATTGGGCAGAAAGACCACGGTCGATAGCCTGTTGGGAAACCAATAAAGATGTTTATTATTATTATTATTAAA